CATTTTATACATTTTTACATGTCTCAACTGCATATTATTTTAAAATGTGTAATAATAACAAATAATAATATAACAATATCAGTAATAATAATAACAAAGTTTCCAATATATAGGATCAATATCAGTTCACTCAGACTGCCAGAGAGGTCACAGCCAACTAATTAAGCGAGGTCACCCCACAGGCGAGCAAGTGGATGCGCGAGAAAGGTGCGAAGTAATTAGAAGTCTGGAACCGTGGAACCAAATGCCGACTCCCAGGTGGTGAGGAATCACAATATTAGACAATGAGAGCTCCCTTATCCAATTCTTAAACGTTTGGCCCCATACTGTTTGAATGAACAGTGTAGACTCTCTCACGTTCGGTTACACCCTACTGTCAGTAAACCAATCCAAAATTTTCGATTTAGCTTTAAGCTCAAGAATGAAGTGAAGAAGGCATGAAATGTGCTCAACTATCCCATTATAACCGGTAATCTTCTGACACAACTCTTATGAACAAATCATGCTGGGCAGTGATGGTAAGAGGTGCTACATCACACATGCATGGTCCGGAGATCAAGCGATCAATCTCTCTGGGGTCGGTTAATTGGTACCAGACTCGTTTGGGAGGATAGAAGTGCTGATATTTAGCCACCAATTCATTGTATAGACCATATAGGCACTCAAGACGGGTCTAAGATTCTGGATGTAAGACGAGTGCGCTGGCGCGTTCCAAAACGGGAATGATCAGCGTCGGAGACTTCATTATTTATGTTGCTCATCATACAAATTAGAAGTATAGACAAACTGCTGCATACATCGTAACGCTCTTCTACAATTCCTTCCAATCAAACGCTCAAAGGAGCAAACAGGAAAGCAAAATCCAGGTCCCATGCTCTGAAAGGTGACCTTTTTGGGTAGATTGAACCAAAAATAACCAACAATATTTTCATTGTTATTGATCGTGTTTTCCGTAACTAATATTTCTGCATCAGGCTATTTACTCGACTAAAAAAATTGAAAAGAGCAACAAAAGAAAACCGAAAAAGCCAGTAAAAAATCTATTCACCCCAACGTTACCATCTCTATCTTCTCCCTGGAGTCTTGGCACAGAAGTAAATCAATGAAGGCATCCTTGATGATTTAGAATCACTCGGACATCCTTCCAAAGTGCTCTACATCATTCTTATCATCCTTACTTTCCATCATTCTCAGGTGTCCTTATTCTCGGAGCCGATCTTCTGTCTGGCTGCGACCTCATCTTCGGTAGCATGTGGATCAGCGAAGCCACCCATTGTGCTTCTTTCTTCCGATGACATCGAAGGCAACCGCACAGAAGTCAACTATCCGCCATGGTCTGTTGCTTTACGCTTGAGTTCGTCTGAGAACAGCCCTTCAAATTTGACTTCTCAGAGCTGCTTTAGTTCAAAAGCACAGTTTACGAAAAAATGGTTGCTGAGATTTCTTCATAGGACGATTTCGAGGCCCTCCTGATACCAGATGTGCCGATGTCAGATCGAGAAACCTCCTGGATAGGGCACAATAAGGACCAGACATTGTAGTGTGTAAATGCCCCACCCACAGCGGACGAGTCTCAGGCTGTACTATCTCGAGAGAATCCCGGAGCCAGTTTTAAACACTTTGGGCTTGATGTAGTTTGCTCTCTGCGCAATCGTAACAAATTAAATCCCGTCCGAATACTCCCTTCATAGCATTACCGCCATGGTAATATCGTACAACCTCTATTTCCACTACTGTTGGGAAACCTTTTTTTGGTAAAAATTAGGTAGATTTCTCGCTTCTTTCGCCTCCAGTAGACTAATCTTCATCAACGCTTCCTCTTTTCAACTTGAAGGCGCAGTTCACGATAATTTTGAGTTGGAAGAGATTTTGAGAAATCGTTTCTGAATGCAGGTCGAGATACAGTAAAATGGAGGGGGCATCCGGACGAGATTCCAGATATTGCAATTGCACAAACAGCTGACTACATCAAATTAGAACGGTAAAGAACTGTCTTTCACTGTCGCTATGGTTCATGACAGGTTGTTTGAACTTCCTACATGGGTTCCCTTGTGATCGGTGCAGCCTCTACAATGCCGGTGAAACTCGTCCGAGGAACACACGGGCCAATCTTTGAGCCTTCATATTTCCCCAACTAGGCCGCTTCCGAATAGTGTCAGATATGGCATACGCGGGCCACAAATTCATCCTTTGGGGGGATTTCAGAAACCATTTTTATCATGAACTGTACATTTAAAATGGGTACCTCAAAATTATCGTGAACTCTGCCTTTTAACAAGCCAATTAGATGAGCTTTACCTGAACTTCTAAATCCAACAGAACTTTCTATTCCTATTCGACGGATGCCCTTCAGCATATGGTTTCAGTTCGCGTGGAGTTGGAAGTATGATGTTCTCTACGTCAGGCAAGACGTTAATGGCCGGTTTCTGGGACGGATCGATACGGGCATTTTCTGTGAAGAAATTGACCATTTTACTGTATCTCGACCTGCATTCAGAAACGATTTCTCAAATGATCTGGACCGAAATGAATGGCGAGGATCGGTTGATAGTTGCATCCATGGATGAAAGATTATCACTGTGGAAATTAAAATAAATATAAAAAAGCAAACGTCTTCGGACAGAAAGGCCATGACTTCTAGTTTATCAATGTGTTGAGTAGCAAAGGACGCAATTTGATATTGGACGGCTTATTGGACGTAGAGATGAAAACCAATTCTATAGTCTAACACCGAGCACAATGCTGACTGTTGTAGCTTGGGCTATGGGCGCAACAGGCGCTGTATTCTCTGAAGGCGGAAAGTCTTAGTAAATACATCGAAAAATTGGGAAATACTGTAAACATTGCGAATTCGATTTGAACACTTTAAGACACAGTCGACGGTAATTTTGAGGCTCCCCTTTTAAGTGCGGAAGTGTAGGGTGGGAATAGTTCATCGGTAGTGAAGAATGCGAGAAAATCTGCCCATTTCGAGTAAATAAGGCTACTCAAAGGTAGGATAATAGAGGTTGGACGAGATTACCATGACGGAAATAACATAGAAGGGATATTCGGACGAGACTTCAGTTGTTGCATTTGCGCAAAAAACTGACTACATCAAGCCAGAACTGTCCGAACTAGATTACTGACACTATGGGTCATGACAAGTTGTTTGACCTTCCTACATTGGTTTCCTTGCGATTGGTGCAGCCTCTACAATGCCGGTGAAACTCGTACGAGGATATACACGGGACAATCTTTGAGCCTCTACAACGTCTTGTTCAGGCCGTTTTCAGGTATGGCAGCACCACGTACGGCATACGGGAGTCCTAGAAAATTTATTCTAGCGGGATATCTCAAAAGTCATTTTTATCGTGGCTTCGAGAACTGTCCTTAAGTTTGATCCAACAACTTTGGGTTTAAAATCACTCATTAGTTCTCAGCGTCTGAGAAAGGGAAAATTCCGTCTCACGGAGGTAATGGTAGGGGGGTGAATTTTGCTGAAGAGAATCAAGCACCAACTTTTTTCTCGTAATCTGATTGATTCACAGAAGGCCTTATCCTTATGACGAAAGAAGAACGGGTCACTGTTTGTCTCGTGAGGTAGATTTGTCCCTTGACCCTGAGGTGCCTTCATAACTCTTGAAGTCAATTATCTCGCGCGTTCTATTATGAATGAACTCTCTAGGTCTTTTAACGCAACATGCTCATTACTTACGACCATTCTGAATCGTATCAATGGAACCCGCAGAGATTGGCCGACAGAGGGGTCCGAAGTTTTAGACTGTCCTCCATGCTGGTTACAAACTAGCTAAGATATTCCGAAACCTTTTCCCGTTGAGCAATGCCTTACTACCGCCCTGAACCATTTCTTACCAAATTATATCGGTATCACTGTTATACAAGCAGTGTCGCCTACACCTTTATACCCATTGATCATCAATTTTCTCGAGCAGGTGTCGCTAATGTGTCCACTAAATCCTGTCGAGAGCCATTATAATACAATTGACCCTTATCTCTCCTGGGACACAGAGTGCGTGATTCTTTTTCCTTAGAGTTTTCTACGGAAGTCTGGTTACCCGTCCTGGATTCAAATGTTTGTTGGAAGTCCAGGAGACCGGTCGGTAATTCCGTGGTCGGGCAGCCAATACGAAATCTCTTGACGTTCCGGGCTCACATTTCGTTTCCCTGGTATTTGCGGCAGCTTTCAGTCGTTATTGTGCTAATTCTTCCGGTTCACCTCTGACTTGCATTTGTCAGGAAACTCCTGCACTACATTCTTCAAGCACACATATAACGAAGACTGCCTAGGTGCTCATCGTGCCTACGCTGAGTACAAAACTGAGAGGTAGGATGGGTCAAGAAAGGTGGTTGCGGAGTTCGATTTTTCCCCTTCTTTGACTTTCCAATGTTCTTGATCACTCCCCATTCCACTGAGTTTATTCTGCACAACTAAGGAGCAAAGTTGTTCAACGTGTTAATTTACTGTCCTGATATTTTCAGAGGGAAACTCTCAGACTCCCTCCTAAACTCGTCCGTGCGAGCATTGAAAGGGCATAAGGACCAGGTTTTTTTCATGGACTTCGTTTTCGCTTCCATCAGCTGTAGTCGGATCTGTTGATAAGCGCTGTTCAAGTTACCTAGCATTCTTCACATTCACTCGGTAGTCGTATAAGCAGAGCTTTGCTAAATACTGGAAACATAGATGGGGAAGGTTCGAGGACATTCAATGTGTAGGCTGATAACAACACTTACCTTTGATCAAATTCACGATTCTCCCCGGAAAAGCTCCTTAAAGGCACGGTTCACGATAAAAAAAGTTACTGAGTTCTTCCTATAGGAATACTCAGCGCCCCCCATGGGTGGTAGAAGGGACCCTCTCGCTCCCACAATCTCGGCGCTTAGGGCATAGTGGAAGCCCCGTTGTGCCGTAGTTAGCTTTCCCGCCTCTCGATCGGTGTCACGTTAGACGAGTGTCAAGACAATACCGATTGCTATTATTCGTTCTAGGACCCACGCACAATAAGCTAATCGCCGAGTGATGAGGCGATGTTTTCCTCCCATTTTTTTCCTCTGTTTTTCTTTTTGCTGCCGCGATCCCTTATTCAATTTCCTACTCCTAGAGGCTGAAAAAGGTGAGCTACTTTTGCTGTTACTAGGTTTTTTTTTGTTCATTTATGNCACACGCGCGCAGTGAAACACACTGTTTAGCTCGTCCGACGCCCCACTCTTCTTCATTTTTCTGGTTTCATTCTCGGCCAGCCCCTTTTTAACGAGTTTTTCGAAGCCTTTTTACTTTGGAAACACCGATGCATGCAGTTTCTTCATCTCAGTCGCACTAGTTTCGATCTTGTCTTCCATTTTTCATCATAACCTGGATTACCCAAAATTATCTGAACTGAGTGAACTGTGCCTTTAACAATCCAAGAACTGCCTCGTCAAGGCGCATCAGTGTTGGAGTAAGTAGCAGAACTTCCGATTTTGTTAGCTAGACTGTAGCCAGACCGATCGAGCAAGACCTCCCTCACACTTCTTCCTTTGTCGTACACAGAAAAACAAAAGTGAACTTTTTTGAACCTCCTTTGGGTGATGCAGGCGGTTGCATGCACTTATTAGATGTGAAGATTATCTAGTGATTCGGAAAAATAATTTTCATAAAAAATCTCGAATATGGTATGCTCGGAAAGCGGGTAACTGGTTGAGAAAGCGTTTTAACTCCATCTCGCTGCGTGGGCTTCTACGCACGGCTATGCTAGGCTTCACCCAGGCATCGCCAGTTCCTATAAGTTCAAGCCCGCCTGGAAAGCCCAAATAAGAGGTGGTCATCAGCTACAGGAAAAGCTGTACAGATATGTGCCCGGATTACCACTTAGGAACGATCTTAGCACTCTAAAGGCGCTGAACTATATTGAGTTCCTATCAGGCCAAATACCAAGTGTCCATAGTTGCTTTTTTTCTGTCGATTTCCCGTTCCGAAACCAAAACCGCTCCTAATTGGGAGTGGTATGTCATCAATCAAAAAGGTGACAGTTCATTTTGAAGGTCTCGTTGTTCCACTTGAGATTTCTTTGTAATAATGCTGTAAACTGGGAACGGTCACGTGTCTATTAATCGTTTCTTTTGAAATCGCAGTGTTGCAAATGCGGTTCCATCTTTGCGCAACTCCCTTTCGTCATGTCCACTCTTCTTATTTTCAGAATTGCGGCGAAGGCTTCTTAGATGTCAAAGAGAGGGAATCCTGCAAAGATTGTTTGTGCTGTAGTCTAAAAGACTGATTCATATAATAATTTGGACCTGATCATTTTCGTGTGCTTTAGACTAGTCTTGCTGGGTTTGGGTACAGTGGTAGTGGAAGAAGGGTGCCGGAACTTCTTTCCGAATTCCCACGGCAAGCGGCAAAGGCGGCTACTCTATCCTTGCGCTAAGAATTCAAACCGTCCCCTTCAAAGCGCGCGACTGTGCGTGATCGGGTGTGGCGAACGCGACGCCGTTTTCGGGGAGAAGATCCCGTACCCTAGGAGAACTGACGAACTTCTACCCAAATTCCCAAGGCGAGCGGCAGTAGTTCAGCTGCGACTACCGTGTCCTTCCGCTGAAAATTCAAAGCTTTCCTTCATAGCGCGCGGCTGCGACGAGTGCGACGTTATTTTCGGGGAGAAGATACCACACCCCAGAGGAACCACACCTCACCTTAGTTACATTGTATTGTCAGTTTCCACCGTTCGACCGATTCAGCGCAAAATTTAAAGTATTGTGCAGTTTGTACTAGCCATGTTCAAGAAGATATTAATGATTACCTAGAAAAAACGTCTACATCGACCGAATTGCGGGGAACGGAACATTCACACAGAACTGGATGGATGCGGCAAACGGAGCGGCGGGATTTGTGGTGATTAAAACGACTCTGGCACCTAGCATTGGGGCACAAATTTGAAGTGGGATAGATAAGAAGCATCAGCTGGCCCTACCTATCCAATCTACTTGAAACCCGTGCCTCCAATGATAGGCGCCAAAGCCGTTTTAATCATCACGAATTTCGCCGCGCGGTTTGCCGCGCCCATCCAGTTCTGGGCGAATGTACCCATACCCACAGAATTGCTCGTAAGGCACTGAAAGATTCTTTGTGCTCCAATAACCTGAGGTAGTGGAATGTGGCCTAAAATGAAAAGATGCAGATGAAAATGAGCAGCCTGTCACGTTCCCTGACTTCCGAATGTATCATTCCTGCGCTTACCTAAGTCTCAGACGTACAGATTTCATTTGGGAATTTTAAAAAAAGATGGCGCATGGCCCGGTGGTAGCCATAATTTGTTTGCGATACTCCATGACCTCTTCTCATGAAGCATTGTGGAACGATAAGGAGGTAGCTGTCCTACACAATAATAATTGCAAACAAGCAGTTCATGCTGGCATACATTCATCCCTTTACATGCCCTTTTCAGGCAAATATGTCCGCAAACTTTCATTTCCAGAAAATGGGGCGTTCAATGAACCTCGACGAATACGGGTCCTTGAAATGCGATACGGCTGTTGCCTCAGATCCGTCTTATAAATTCAATAAATTTCGATATTTTCATTTGGATCAGCTACCTCTATTGTTGATTAGTGACCATAGC